TCTTGTCACAACTGTGTATTTTTTTTGAGAATCGAATGATTAGTTCTCAAGATATTTACTGTCAAAGTTGCCATAGGCTAAATAAGAAACAATCTTCTGGCCCTGTTGTTCTCTAATTTACACGTTCCCGACTTTCCTTTCGGATACGTCAAATTTAATTTTCTCGGAAGCACACAAAAAAAGAAAATTGGCGTGTCCGAGAGGAAAGTCAGGAAAGTTTTAATTTGAGAATAATAGGTCCAGAAGATTCTTTCCTATTTAGCCCATTGCAACTTTACTTTGACAGTGAATATCTTGAGAACTAATCATTCGATTTTCACAGTTTACACAGTTGTGGCGAGAATCAAAATACCTTTAAAACGAGGTACTACTCGACCCATCTTCCCTATCTAAAAAAGAGGGGTGAAAGTCACCCAGCCCAGGGGGTGCACCCTAGCGGAATACCGATGGTGTCAAAAAGTTTCCCCCTTGAATACAAAACTGACGCGTCCGAGCATTTTTTTTAAATCGACCATTAAATACTCCAAAACGCCTCGTGAAACGCCCTGTATTTTTGGAATCGGGAAATTGTGCTCTTCAAGAATATGGACCAAATAAGCCATTCTATTTTAAAAAAAGTTGAAAGTATGCAAAATTTCACATTTCCTACCTTCAATTTTTGTTTCTGGCAACGGCTTCCGGAAGTTCAGCTAAAACTCAACATTTTTTGGATTTACACCTTTCTTCTACCTGTAAATAAAGATAAAGACTGTGTATGTGTTAAAATCCCTATATACAGGGTGATGGGTAAGTAGACGTATTCCTTTGAGGAGGTGAAAGTAGAGCCCATTTACTACCGATTAAACATCATTTACCTCTATACCATTTTCAACAGTTTTTGAGATATTCATTCTTTTTTAATTTCCAAGAAATTTGCTCGTTTGTCCGGTAAATATTTAAAATTAAGGAAAATAATAAAAGCCATATTAAATGTCGCGTTTTAAATTATAAGCTGACACACTTACACAAATATTAGCATTGAAAATTATTGAGAAAATAATATTAACTATTAAATTATTTCGGTTTAAACTTAACTTTCCTTGTCAAGTTACAAACTAATGGTTACTTTATTTTATACTTGAAAATTTCGAAAATTTCATAGTACATCAAACGTACAAATTAATAATAAAAGTTCTCGATATAATTGTCTTCAGAATAAGGCACATTATTTCAGAATTAGTCTTTTGTTTTATTATTAAATAAATAAGTTTTATTTGTAAGAGTAACCAATATGAACAAAAATTACTCGATGTGTTTTTAATACCAAGTGTTACAATGGAAATGTTATCAAATATTTGTGTTAACATTTACTTAAATAAGGTATGTTCCTTATTATTTCGTTAATTTTAAATATTTACCTCCCAAAAAAGTGAATTTTTTAAATATAAAAATAAAAAATATCTCAAAAACCGTTGAGAATGGTATAGAGGTAAATGATGTTTAATCGTTAGCAAATGGGCTCTACTTTCATCTCCTCAAAGGAATACGTCCACTTACCAGTAACCCTGTATACAGCTAGTGCAAGAATTGTCTGATGAAGATTTTGTTAATCAGCGTAATTTTTGCTGTTGGGCATATTAAATCAAATTCAACAACAACAACAACAGGACTTTTTTGATTATGTGTGGTTCACAGATGAAGCAACTTTCCATAAATATAATGGATTTGTGAACCGCCATAATTTCCATTATGCAAATCCAAGGTATCCGATAATACCATTGGACCATCAATATAGATCGATGGTCACTTGATGTATGGGGCGGTATTATGAGGATAAGGCTTATTCTTGGGCCATATTTTTTTTAATGGTCAGATCATTTAAATTTACCATTCCATAACAAGTGGATTGGAAAAGAGGACCCAGCTTCTTGGCCGGCTAGATCTCTATACCTTACAAAACTTGATTTTTTCTTATTGAGGGGTTGGTGAAAGATAGGGTTTATCAAACATCTGTTACCACCACAAACGACATGCAGGAAAGAACAAGAGATGTTTAACAAGAAGTACTTAGGTATAGGGAAATGCTAGAAAAAGTAAGCAATTCTTCTGTGTGATCAACTCTAAGGTGGACATGTATGTAGAACATTATGTATAGTATAACCTTTTTTATTAAATTTATGTTGTTCAATCGATAAGTTTCACGATTTTATTTTTTCTTAAATTTAATAAAATAGTTATTCACATTACAAGTGCGTTTATGAACATGACTACAATAACGAGTGTAAAAGATTAAAACGACGAGGTCGTAGACCGAGTCGTTCTAATCACACGAGTTTTGTAGTTATGTCACAGTTAAAACGCACGTGTCATGTACAACGTTTTATCTACAAAGCGAAAAATAAGAATGTTTTTTCGTTTATTAGTAGTTGTCTACCTTCATTTTACCTTTACAGGTTTAACTTTGACATTTGTCAAATCACCAAAAATAGTTGCGTGATAGATTCATAACACCACTAGTTGTGTTATGAGTCTCATGACATATGACTCAAATACTAGAAAAATGGTTATGTAAAAACGTCATGCTTGGTAAAAGAATTAAGAAAAGAAAATAAAGGGGATTCCATAAAAAAAAAAGAACTATGTTTGTTCCAAATGTCTAGTTTCTAGTTTTGTGTACAGTATTACGAACACCCTTGTAAAGTGTTATCAGATTCATAAGACCATAGCAAGTAAAGTAAATGTAAGAACTAGCAACCTGCAAAAGATTTAGTTTGCATACGATTCCAAATGAATGAAATATGTTGAGTTTTGTTGACACGTGCACGCCGGTTTGCTATGAAAAAATATTAAATATTTCAAAGACGGTTGAGTTTTGGTAGGTACAGATAATTCTTAACAAGGATTTTATGATTTTTGTGATGATCCACTTAAAGTCTGTTTTTTTTTAAAGATAAAAGTCAAAATGACATTTTATTAGCAATACAATGTAAAATTGTCAATGCTTTCAAATTTTTTATGTAGAAAAGGCTTGTGTTGCCAACATAGTTAGGTACTAAATTTTTAACTTGGGAAATTACCTATCTTTAAAAAAAAAACAGACTTTATGTAATAAAATATGGTATAGGGTTTTCATTAAATATAACAAAGTACTGTGGCATACCTACCCCATTTATGGAGCACCTTGTCTTCGAAAATATTTTTGACTTATATGCACCCCAAGAAGCACCCTGTATACCGAGTGTAAAAAAATTGTGTACCTTCCAGACTTCACGGAGTGATACTACATATGAAAATAGGAAAAAATGTCCTACGAACATAATATGCCCTAAGATGCTCCCTGAAGAAGTTGTATTCCTTCAAACGGTAGATAAAAATAATAGATTTTTTTTACTACTAACCTGAGAAATTGTCATTATTCAATCTATTTTTCTAGGAAAAAATTGAATTTCTCTCCCTAGGTGAATAATGAAAATAATGAAAAAATACCTAGGTTAATAATGAAAATGACGTCATGACGCAAGGATATTGTCCTGTTTCTATTGGTTCAATTTCATTTCCATACGTCAATTTGAAAAAAATACAGGTTTCTGTAGGTACATAGGAAGTTATCATAAGCTGTTGATAGAGGGCAGCACTTTCAAGAGGGCGTTTAAAAAAAATAATTGGAGCACAGATTTTAAACAAATTTTTCATTTTCTACTAGCAGTAGTAAAAAAAATTCTATATATTCCTCGGTAGAGAAAGTCATTATATACCTCACTCATTATAAACCTCGGCGCGAGCGCCTCGGTTTATAAAAGCGCTCGGTATATAAGGACCAACTTCTCTACCTAGGTATATAATATACTATTATTTATTTTCAAGAACAGTGGCAAACTATTTTTTTTTTGAAATTTGGCATTCTCGTATACATTTCGATGCCAAAGCGAATGGTGATAATAAAAAAGTCGCAACAGTTCTGAAAGGGTAGTTTACTCATACCTATTACTCATAACACAAAAAAGCATCTTAGGACATGTTCATAGGAACCCCTCGAAGTCCGGTACCTATACTATTTTTTTTTACACCCTGTATACGTGAAAATGTGAGAAAACCATTGAGAAACTAAACTAAATAACCGCCCACTGATAAAACCGTCCTAACTTGTTAAATTTGATTGTCCGCAGAAAAAGCCATATCAGTGTGTATATTACGCTAATTTACAAAATATTTTTTCTACAAACGTGTTAAAAATGCAATTTTTAACACCCCCCCGAAGCATTAAAAATGTTACTTTATTGCACTAGTGCCATAAAGTCTTTTTAGCACTAGTGTTAAAAATAAAACATCAAATTTTGAGAGGGAACGTCAAAGAAAGTTTGCATTTTTAGTTATTTACATTGATATTAATGGTGAAATTTTAACAACTGAGGTAGCCCGATTGGCCGCCTCATCTATATTTTTCAAGGGATCAATGCAACCCTCTTTTTCTTTTGTTTTTTGTTGCATTTTTAGCAAAAAGCATAACTGACCACGACAGACTTTCAAAAAACTGACAAGACATTTCATTACCTGTAAAACAAGGTGCTGGTTATTTGGATTTTTTGACAACAAATGTCAAATTCAATAATTTTATGTAGGAAAGATGCTTCTAATTTATTGTTCATTTAAAAATCCAATTTGTTACTGGTTATTGCTTTTTATTGCCGTTTATAGAAAAAATATTGTATGATATTTGTGTTAAAAGTATTTTTAAGGCACTTATGTGAACTTTCACATGCGTGCCTTAAAAATGTACTTTTAACACTTATATCATAAATAACTATTATACAGACATCAAAATGTCCCGAACTTGACATGTCATGTCATTATCATTAAGTTTCCAAGGAGGACCAGATGCATAAACGGAATATAAATATCAACTTTTTCCAATAGTTTGTCTAAACGTGACAACGCCGCAAGTAACTGTGAACTATCAAGCGACCTACTCACCGGTTATTGTCAAAACTTTGCCGTAAACATCCCAACGAGTCAGACGAAGCCAAAACATACACATACCGTCTCGTACAGATAAATTTGTTCCTTTCAATAATCCCATTTTCATTTTCTTCTTTCAGTTGCGCTTTGCGCCTTGTGAGTTGTTGTTAGTGAACGTCGAATATTTTGAATTATCGTAAAATTTTGTCGAAAATTTACGTCGCTGTACCGAAAAATGTTGCAAAGTTCGTCGTCGACGAAGGGCAAAACTTCGAGGCAACTGGTAAGTGATGTTTTGCGTAATTTTTACCTAATTAAAAGCGATTGCACGGCCATTTTCTCTAAGTAAACCACAGTCGTCTTGTGTAAGTAGTTATGGTCGCCATGCCTTTTTCTTGTTCAGGAATAGGCTCTTGTTCGATCATGATTATGGTTCTGATAATAAAGAAATTACAATTACTGTCGATGTAAAAAAATTAATAATCCAATTTCTTTGTGCCTCTACTAATAAATTATTGATGGGTATGTTTTGTTCGTAATCGATGTGTGGCGTGGTAGGCTATGGAGCCTACGAAGCTACTCTTTTAGTACTTTCAAAGTAGGTACTGTTTTTAGGAGTCGTCGTCCGTCGACACCGGTTATATGATGTTGTACCTACTAGTACTCACCTGTTTTTAGTTTTGGTTCTTTCTTTTTTCGATTAAAGTACTTTTTATTTACCTATATACTCGAGTCGTGTTTTAGCTTAGCGTGTGTTTTTGTTGGTCAAAGCTCATTGAATTAATCACGAACTTGTCCTGAAAAGTTTTATGTAACTTTTATTATTATTTGTGCTCGATTTGTGCCTACTAATGTCAGTTTATAACTACCTAATTTAGATTGCCTACCTTGTTGTATATATTTTTTGATTGCCATTAGCTTGGAGAGATTTTTAGAGTTTGATTATTTTTTTTTTAATTAAAAAGGTTGGTTATCCTCGAGGTTATCCCTTATTAAAACAATATACCTACCTTGCAATGCAATTTAGGTAAGTAACCCATTTATTTTTAACGAAAAATGGTATGGCAACATTGTTTTAAATGATATAGGTACCTACCTAAATATTTTGACACTGTCAAATTATAGAAATAGAGGAGCTTATCACTTTTCATAGCTAGAGCTCAATAGATATGAATACCTACGATATTCTTCCAAAATCAAAACCTCTATTAGGTACCTACTTCTTTTTCATATCGATATTAATATGAGAAAATATCATATCAATCTATCGATACTCACTTTTGATACGATATTTTTATGATTACTTAGATGTTGACATCATTCCAGAAGTTAACTTTAAGTTATTTGTCAAAATACACTGCTGAACAATAATTGCTTTTGAGCAAGGAATTTTCTTTGCCTAACTTTTAAGCGCAATATTTTTGGATCCAAACCTAACATCGACCTCCGTTTCACGGGTTGACAGATTGACTTTTTGTGAAAAAAAAATGCTATATGGAAAGCAGTAGAGGTCGATATTTTGGTTCCGAAAATATGAATATGGTGAAATTTTCCTTTTGCTTGAAAGCAATTTGTCCCAGCAGTTCAGTTTTATATACCCACCATGTACCCGCCCTTAGAAATAGATTGTTTGGTTTCAGAAACAGAAGCCCCTTTTTGCATGTCCAGATCCAGTGAAGAACTGCTCGTAATGCTCGTTTTTTTCATAACTACCTAATTAATTTTTCAATTATTTTAAAATACATTACAATACGATATAGTCCCCCATAATGTTCGCTACAGGTGCGAATCGAATATTTTTATTTAATTCCCTAGGAATGATTCCAGTGAAGAATTTAAATTTGTTTTACCAATACAAATTAAATATTGAGGTACTTGGACTATTTGAATAATAAAAACTGTATAATATAATTTGATAAGAGATCTCTGGCAAAAAACAAGTAATTTCCTATTTTTTGTTGCTTTTGCTCCAAATTTCGCAGACAGCCCTGAAACATCGTTTCAATCACTTTTTTCAAATAACTTTTTCCGATATTTTGCCATTCAACCCCACTTTTCGCGTTTCCATATCTAAATTTTCGACTTTGCCGCCATAACAGTGGTTATCGGACATGCAGGATCGATCGCACATAAGAAAAAATTTCATATCCTACAAATAAAAAATTTCCCCATATGTGGCGAACATTATTGGGGACACTGTACAGGGTGCTGGAGTGTTACAACAGGAAAAACATACTTCCATATCAGATAGAGGAAAATTGACTTAGGCATCATGGGATCGATTTTTGGGAAACGTCAATTGTCAAAAACCGTATCACGATATCTTCAATGGTACCATTGATACAGGGAGATTTTCGATTTTTCCCTATTATGAAAAATGGCTATAAGTTTTTTATTTATCAGTTTTTGTTATTTCTGTGAAAACATTATGGAGACACTTTTTTGAGCACAACCCAGTGGCGGACTCAGTGTTTTTCTATATCGTTCCGATTTCGAGATATCGACCAAATTCCAATATTTTCAAATGAAACATCCTATATATTAATAGCTCATTGGATAGCTCTGTTTTTTCAATGATATAAAGTTCGATAGGTTTATTTCTAACAGTTTTCGAGAAAAAAAATTATATCTGTTTTTGTCGTAAGGACCAATGTGTTAGAAAAGGATTTTATATGTGTAAGGAAAATGAGGAAGGTCTCTTTCTAACACATTGTTTCTTATGACTGAAACAGATATAATTTTTTTTCTTGAAAACTGTTAGAGATAAACCTATCGAAGTTTATATCATTGAAATCAGCAAAAACAGAGCTATCCAATGAACTATTAATATATAGGGTGTTTCATTTGAAAATATCGGAATTTGGTCGATATTTAGAAATCGGAACGATATAGAAAAAAACTGAGTCCGCCACTGGATTCTGCTCAAAAAAGTGTCTCCATAATGTTTTTACAGAAATAAAAAAAATTGATAAATAAAATACTTATAGCAATTTTTCATAATAGGGGAAAATCGAAAATCGCCCTGTATTAATGGTACCAATGAAGATATCACGATACGGTGAAAATCAATCCCATGACATCTAAGTCAATTTTCCTCTATCTGGTCTGGAAGTGTGTTTTTCCTGTTAAAACACTCCAAATTGCAGCACCCTGTACATAGATCGATTTGGTTCCCGATGGGATACCCTGTATAGGGTGTCCTATTGAAAAAATTGGATTTTGCGAAGTCGAAACTTAATAGAAAAAAACTGAGATGGTCAGTGAATTCTGCTTAAAAAAGTTCTCATAGAAAGTATTCACGGAAATCAATTATTTTCATAAACAAAAAAGGTATGAAAGTTTTGCAGTATTGCTCAAAATAGAGAATCGCCCTCTAGCGGCAGTTTGCACCATTCAAGATTTCATGAAATTTGAGCCTCAGACTGGGGGGGTCCGTGTTTTTTTATCTCTAAAAATAAAGGGTGTTTCCATAAGAAAGTGTCCAATTTGGGCCACCCGTACAAGTTGCTCAAAATCCCAGAAAAACTCGTAAAATCTATTTGAAATCCCTTAGAATCTTTAAAGATTTAACGAATTCCCCTAAAATCACTTGAAATCGCATAAAATCCTACAAAATCTCACATTTTATAAGAACGTAAAAAATCCCGCAAAATCTTATAGAATCATTAAAATTCCTGAAAAATATTTCCCCTAAAATTTCCAAAATACCTTTTGGATGCCCAGAAGTCCGTTAAAATCTCTAAAAACCCTTTAGGATCTCTTACTACGAGAGCCCGTGACACAAAAGCCTCAGTCATTTGTTAGAAGGCCATTTTTTGGTGGCTCGGTATGCCAAGTCCTCGGTCAACTAAAAAACGTAATGGTTGGCGGGTTTCGGTGTGCAGAAGCTGAGGAGTGGATGAATTTTCACTACCCCAAAATAAGGCTTTCTACCTTATGAGTTAGAAGCTTTTTTTTTTGTTGTGGATAAATAATATGGACCTACTGAGGCCTGAACAGGAATGGTTGGCGGGCCTTCCCCCTCTCTTCACCATGCCCACCGCGTTTTAAGTGAGATTCCCAAGGGAAGTTCCTACCTCACAAGTCAGAAGGACGAAAAAAAGTGGAAATTATACATTTCCACTTCCTCGTCCGTTCTGCGCTGGGTTGGCAGCCGGTTGGCGCTCTATTGTGTATTTAAACATATGTTTTTGCGAAATTGAAGTTGTTTTTTCCCTCGCTATAATCTAAAGAATTAGTGGGGGTTTTTATAAATTTTACATGGATAAAAAAAAATAATACACACATTTATCAACTGATAAATGCGATTTCATCTGCAGGTTACATACATAATTTTTTTCTGCAAGGAGAAAAAAAAAACATCAGAATGGCTTATATAAACCCACATCAGAGTAGCTCAAATTTGGCATAAACCTCGGCCGAATTCTTTGATGGATTATCCACTATACCCATACTTTGGTCAGGGAGGGCGCAGGTTATGAATTATTATGAAAAATAATTTTTTAAACATTTATTTTTACTTTATTTATACGTTGTGAGAATGTGCAAGGTGTTCCAATTTGGACACTTTTGATAAGAAACGTAAATTTCTAAGACCAGATACAAAAAAATAACCCCCCCCCCCCATTGAGGATCAAATTTCATTACATAAGGATGTTTCTGGATTTTGAGTAATACTGTGAAACCTTATTACTTTTGAAGTGAAAACTTCTTCAGAATCGTTAGGAGTGATTTGAGACTCGACTCGATAAAACGAAAAAGCGACACTGAAAAGAGACAAACATATAGATCTATGGGATTTGGCCAGCTAGAGAATAAGATGGAATACTTTTGTACAGCGTTTCCTATTCTTCGTCTCCTTTTTGTGCGGTGCTTCGTAGCCTCCCCACTCTTGTCTACCAAACGTTGTACCTAGTTTGTGTATTTCATTCTCTCTCAGCTTAGTTTATTGAAGGTTTGACTTCTACTGGGTGTGAACTGCACAAATATATATATATATATATATATATATATATATATATATATATATATATATATATATATATAGAGGAGGACAGTAACGGGGTACTGGTAACAACAAAGGATAAGTTAATAGATGAGATTCCCCAAAATGCTAGAGGTAGCCAAAGTAAAACGATGTAATGTGCTACTAAGTGTCTGTTTATTCAAATATCAAGCTTTCGTCTACCATTGCAGACTTCATCAGGACGCTAAAAATAACAATGAAAACTCCTTACTAAGAGACAAGATTAACCCTTTACTTGGAGGCAGAAGGCCCAATAA